CCCCGTTTCCTGTTCTACACAATGATGTGCTTCCTGCCCGGCCCCCTGCTCTGTCTCCTGCACTTACCTTTATTACAGTACTGCATTCTCATTGTGTACTTACATGTCTGTTACCCATCACTAAATTGTGTGCCCTGAGAACAAGACCATGTGTTAAACACGTTGATGATTCCAGGAGACAATAAGTAATGAAGGCTTCAAAAGGTGCTCTTATTTCTCTCTAGAAAATCGTCATGTTCTCAAAGAAGGCTGAGGCGGTTATAGCTGTTCCAGGAGTTAAAGCAGTTCACTCCACAGTGCCCATCCTCACCCAGTACTGTTCCCATTCCCATCTAACAATGGTCAGAACGCCTGCATTCCACACCAGAGTACCTGGGTTCAGCCCCTGCTGTGGCTCCTGACTCCAGCTTCGTGCTAATGCAGCCCCTTGGAGGCAATGATGATGGCTCAAGTAGATGGGTTGTTAGGACCACAGTGCAGTTGCTTGTGGGGTGATCCAGTGGAGGGCACCCCTCCTGGCTTCACCACCATTTATCTTCCATCCAAGCCACTTGTGTTGCTACAGTGTATTGCATTGCTAAGGGGGTAAATGGATACTTTGCGACCAAAATGATGGGGATTGAGAGAGAGCCGATTGGTAGACACAGGTCTGCTTGAGTGACAGGAACAAAGAGGATGTCATCTGTGTTCCCATATATTCAGTGAGCTCTTCAAAGCAAGTGATCAGAAAAGAAACATGTCACCACTGGCTGCTGCTTTTATACTTTGAACTTCCAGCTGTATGGTCTGCTAATGACAGGGGCAGCCTCCAGCCCCTCTGGCATATGGACCACCAGCAACCCCATCACTCAGGTACTGTGTGCAAGCACTGCAGCACACACAGGGACCCAGTGGAAAGATAAAAGGATGAAAGGAAGGAATAATTAAGAAGATAATTAGTGGTTAGTCCCATCACTAGTATTTCTGATTGTTTTTGTTGGTTAAGTGGCAGATAATCAAAGCTTCAAAATCCAGATACTAAAAGGCAGTCATTTAAGGCATTATTTAGCCAACCAGATAAAGCATATTAACATGTGTGGCCACTGCTGGAATACAACCAGTTTCTGCTTTTCAGTGGGAAGTTTAGAGAATTTGACATTGTGAATGTACTATCATTTTGGTCAAAATTGCTGTTAATTGATTGATCTAAATTTGTTTGGTGGCAGAATACCTTCTAAATTACTGAAAGATGACATGGTACACAAAGAAGTGATGTTGGTATTTACCAGTAACCATAAAACAATAAGACAAATGAAATTGGGTATAAAATTGCATACTCTCTCCTTACCTAAAATTTCTCCCACCAGATATTAGAAACATCCAGTGTGAGCAATTTGCAGAGGGTTTAGTGCCCCCACAAGTCAAGAACAGGCTTGGAACTGGGGCAATAGCCTAGTGGCTAAAGTCCTCGCTTTGCATGCACTGGGATCCCATATGGGCGCTGGTTGGTATCCTGGCTGCTCTTTTTCCCTTCCAGCTCCCTGCTTATAGCCTGGGAAAGCAATAGAGGATGGCCCAAAGCCTTGGGACCCTACAGCCACATGGGAGACCTAGAAGATTTTCAAGACTCCTGGCTTTGAATCAGCTCAGTGCTGGCCATTGTGGCCACTTGAGGAGTGAACCAGCAGATGGAAGATCTTTCTCTCTGTCTCTCCTCTCTATAAATCTGACTTTCTGAAAATAAATAATATTTTAAAAAATAACAAGGTCAGCTAAGCTCCATGAATTGTTTTGCATATTCAAAGAGTAATATTAGGGCAATCAGATTGTTCAGTATCAGTAGGTACAGATTCTGTTGATTCTGCTTTCAGATTGCATTGAGAAGCAACCCCTTTTTACCACCTGTATCATTGCAAAAGCCTCCTGATGCTGCTTCTTGCTTTTCCCATGGCGCTCGCTCGCTCTCTCCCTCTCTCTCTTAATTTTACTTCTTTTTATTATTATCATTTTATTATTCTTTTTATGATACAGTTCCATAGGCCCTGGGATTTCCTGTATCCCCTCCCGAATCCCCTCCCCCTTCACTGAGTCCCCCTATATCATTACTATGATACAGTTCTTCATACACAATCATATGCCCATTATTGCAGGCATGGACAATGGCAGAGAGTCCAGCATCCTGTTGTCAAGATAGTAAGCAGTTTCACTGGGAGTCCATCTTTGTCTGGAAGTAGTGATGCATACTGCATTGTATCCTCACATCTGGATATGATAGTCTCCATTATACAGTTACTATACATCCCCTTAAATGAAAAGCCACAATACAAAATCAACAGGAAGAAAAATAGAAATTTACAATGCCATGAAGTTAAATTACATACTGCTAGATTTGATAGTCCCCATTATACAGTTACTGACCAGCCCCTTAAATGAAAACCCACAAACAAAATCAATAACAGGAAGAAAAAACGAATTAACAACACCATGAAGTTAAATAACATGCTACTGAACGACTAATGAGTTGCTGAAGAAATGAAAAAATCAAGAACCTTCTTAAAGAAAATGATGCTACTGTATGATCTATGAATCATTGAAGAATTTAATCAGAAAGAAGTGTTTTGAAGAGATGAAACTAACCAAAAAAAAATCTAAATCCATGCAATATAGTTTCTGCTGATCTTTGTTGGTGAATGAAATGTATCTCCTGTAGGCAACAATAGCTGGGTTTTGTTTTTTTCTATTAATCTATGACATTTAATGAGTTTAAACCATTTACATTCAGGGTGAACACAAGTAGGTTGGTCCTGTCATTTTCCCCTTTCTCTCATTCTCCAACTAGTAGCCATCAGAACATTGCATCCCTGAGCTCAGATCCTTCCAGAAAATGTCCCCTCCTGTTGAGTGAAAGCCCTGCCTCTCTTCCCACACCTGCCTCTGTCATCTGCTTTCCTTTTCTTCAGCCCCGCCACCATTCCTCTACTTTCCCAGGCTCGTTGAGTGTTGTTGTAGAAGCACCAGGATCAGCATCTGCTCTGATCTTTCCATCACGTTCACTGGGAAACCCAAGGTTCACTCCCTAACTTCCTTCCTTTCTTTGCCTGTATTGTCCCAGTCTCTGTGAGCACGTGTGTTCTGCCTGTTTGGACATTCCCTCTAGGTACTAGTGCTCTTCCTTTCTGCTCTCTCATGAGCGTCAACTTGTAAAATATGGCAGATTGTCCCCGTGAATACCGGGACACCCCATGAGATGGAGGATATTGGTTTTAGTTGTTTTGTGTAGTGCTGATCTTCCCACACATGTAATACAGTCTGGCTCATGGAAAGCAACCTGTATTTGCTAAATGCATAAACCTGTTGTCAAAACATTTGCCTACTTTCTGCTGTGTGTGTGTGGTGTACTAGCCAGTGAGATATGGCACCCTTACTGGGGAAGGTCTTACTTAGAGGTTTTTATTTAACTTACTTTGAAAAATTGTTTCGTTCTATTTTTTCTACTTACATCTGAATTCTGTGAGAAAAAAAAGAAAGCCTATTATAAGGGGTTTTCATGAACAACATAGTCCTTTTTTGAACATTACTTTCAATGGTATATGTAAGTTGGAAATGAAAATGACAACTGTTGGGCAAGAGGAATTAAGAAGGTAAGAAAAGAAAAAGAGATCAGAGACTAAAGTGAAAGTAAAATTTTAGCTAGACTTTGAAGATTCTAGCTTTCTATTCCTTACTGAAAATTCTTTCAGAGTCCCCCAATTGAGAAGGCTATCCTGATATTAAATTATGCAATTCTTCAGGGGTGTATAAAGCCCTCATGAACTAAAGCACACATATTAAATATCTTAATATAAAATTAATAAATTAAAGTTGAGTCCAAGTTTGTCTAGCTCCTTTGAAGGATTACAGTATGGAAAGTAAATACACTATTGGGTAGGAATACATAACATCTGTGTTGGTGATGGGCTAATAAATTCCTTCCCATTAAAATTTAATTGAAAATCTTCAATGATATTTAAGCTTTCGCAGAAGTGTAAATTATTGTGGCTACAATTCACAATGCATTTAAAACAATTATTCTTTATCATTAAAGTTAATAATATGCACATTAACCTCTTATGTGGTCTAAATCAATATTGTAGTTTAAAAGATATGACCTCTGGACAGCTTTGTCTAAATATTGATTTCATTGTCATTTGTATAAGGGATCAAACAAATTACATGCTGCGCTAATATCATTAATGCCGCCCCTGCAGAGCCTCTGACTTTCTGAGTTCTTACGATACAGGACATGACATTACAGAAGTATCGAGGACATCAGGAAACATAATTGCCAATTGGACAGGATGTGACAGTGGCAGAGCCAAGTCTGCGTAAACAGACAATAACTTACAGATTCTTTATGTTCAGTGGACAGAAGAAGGAAAAAAAACTGAGCTTTTTAATATGCAGATTGGTTGTTGAGGCTAAGTACCTCAGAGGGTCTAATTTACCTTCTGGTGATTCCGTATATGTCTGAAGGAAAAATTTGGTCTGATTCAGTCTGGTAAATTCTGCAGTAGATCGCTTTTCTCAAAATATTCTTGCTTGGAAACTCTGTTACAAGTTCCCTAGACTCAGAGACTCAGAAATATGTCCAGCCACATGCATCAGTTAAACATTTCCAGTGGTCATTGTCAAGTTAAATGAAAACTGAGAAAAGGAGGAAGGTCCTATTTTGTTTCCTCTTCATTGGCAATGATAGTGTTATTTTTGTTGTTAAAAATTTTACAAGTTGAAATGCCAGCTATTTAATTCACCTCTTTTGGATCCTAAGTGACTATGAATCATCATGATTCCTAAAATTGTCAAATGATATCTAACTCCTTGTTGATTTTTTTTAAAAAGCTTTAAGATTATATTCTCCCCTTTTGTTGACTGGACCACTTTTTTGAGGGATGCGGGAGGAGGAAGAGATAAGGCCACGGTTATAAAGTGTGCCCTGTGGGTACTATGTATACTAAAAAACACACCTCCCTAATCTCTCCTAGGTAAAAGTGACCCGTTTTGTGTGGTGGAGCTGAATAACGACAGGCTGCTGACACATACTGTCTACAAGAATCTCAATCCCGAGTGGAACAAAGTCTTCACATTGTAAGTGGCCGTGGCCGTGACTTCATCTCGCAGAAGGTGTTCAGTTACGTTTCTCGTTGAGACCGTGTGCGTGCACACACGTTTGTGGTGTGTTCTTCGCCGTGTCACAACCCTGCATCTGGCCTGACTTCACTCCTAGGGAGGAAATTCCTAACCTCTTACCTTCCGGAGAGTGAAATCTGGGGGTGCCCTGTGTCTTTGTTCTGTGCTTTTCTATGATTTGAGGAGGGGCTTTGCTCCCATCAACTGCCTGGCCATACTGCTTCTTCCTTTTATACTTTCTATTGAAATCCGTCTCCCACCACATTGACATGGAGGGGACAAAGCTCTATTTGTTCCATTGCTGAAATCAGCAAACAACCCCGGGCAGGGATTCAGCAGGTGCTTCGTTTGGGCTTTGTTTCATTTTAGCACAGTAAAAAATATTAAGCATTGTTCCAGACACCCTTTGAGTTCATGTTTCTTTTGTTTTTGAAGAGTTTTGTAAGCCTTCCATCACTCCTTGTAACAGCTACAGATACTACCTTAAAAATATCCCCCAGAATTGGTTTCTTGAAGCTGGGCTTAAGAAATGAACTCAGAACAAAGGAAAACTCTCCAAGCGGGAAGACTTGTTCAAACTTTTTTTTTTTTTAACATAGTTCTATTTTTGTGTGTATATGTAAGAACTACTACTAAATTCCTCATTAATTCTTTATAATGCCTCAGTTTAAGAGCCAGTAATTAATCAGCCTTCATGATCTCACTGCTTTAATATTAAGAAATGTCTCATATTTATAAGAGATTAAAGCATGGTCAGCAGACCTGCACTGCTAAGGGAGCTATGAGGAGTGTTTTCTCAATTGTGCGTAACTGAATGAATAGGTTTGATTATTATCAAAGCCATTAATTGTGTCCTGATAGGCCTCTTCTCACACGTGATGGTGGCTTGTCAGTAATGAATAAATTCAGCGGTGTTTGTGGTTTCTTTTTTTTCTGGTATGTTTGTTTTCTCTTAATTCATGTTTTCTTGGTAAACAATTTGATCAAAGAATAACTGCTTCCAACAATTTACACTTACTTTTTTTTTCAGAGACAAAAATATGAAAGGCTCACACAGTTGTTTATTAGCATAGATTTTCTTTGGACCGCAAGGGAAGCTACTTAATCTCTAAATTTCAGGGTGGTACAGTAGCTGTGAATGTTACGTTTTTCTCCATTCTGTTTTCTTTGTTCATTTTTATGGTAAATCTAGTGGAAATGAAGCCAATGTTTTGGTGAGAGCTGTAAACCAAAAGGAGATGTCCTGTTATTATAAAAAGAAAGGACAGTTTTTTTTTTTATATATATATATACAGTGAGTGCTGCTGATACCAAACCTGGTGGTAACAAGAAAATAAACCATTGTCATCATGTTAAGAAAAATTCTTTTAAAAAGCCAATGCCATTTATTGATATTTTTGTAATAATATATTCTGTGCCCATCCAGACCAAAAAAAAAAATTTATATTTCCTAAACCAGTTACAGCTTGACATTACAATATTGTTTGAAGTTGTACAGAACAGAACCTTCCTTTTGGGCGACTATGTTGCATTCTGGGAAAATTCTGTCAGCTCCCAAGCTACCCTGTGCATGTGTGTGTATGCAAATAACAGAGAGAAACACACACACAGTCAGCTGGAGCCATTCAAATTCTCCAACCCATTTTAGACCACTGATGAAATATTTTTCCTCCCATATGCTTATTCTGCAGCAACATTAAAGATATCCATTCCATTCTTGAAGTGACAGTTTATGATGAAGATCGGGACCGAAGTGCCGACTTTCTGGGCAAAGTTGCTATCCCGTTGCTCTCTGTAAGTTTTATCCGCCTGACACACTGTTCTGGGTTGCTTTTGCTCAAGGAAAAAAAAAAAAAAAGCCCTCAGTTCTGTGTCTGTCATTTCTCAACCAAGGTCTGTAATAAGAACACTAAAAATTTTAACATACTCAATTCCCGGCCATGTTGAATCCCATGATAGTTAATTTTTCCTGACAGACTTGATCGTGGTAATGAACAGGTACTTGTCAGAATTGCCACAGTTGTTTTGGGTTTTCTGTCAGTTTCAGCAGCTGGGGGTCAAAGGTCGCCGAGGGAGTGTATTCAGTGGAGACTGCGAGACAGACGGCTGTCATGTCCTTTTCCCGCAGATTCAAAATGGTGAACAGAAAGCCTACGTCTTGAAAAACAAGCAGCTGACAGGGCCAACAAAAGGGGTCATCTATCTTGAAATAGATGTGATTTTTAATGCTGTAAGTCTTAACTTTGGCTTTTTTGTACTGCTAAAGAGTTCAGTTTCATGAAAGCTTTTGTTCCTGATTTGTAGAGAATTTCTGTCATTCCTCGTTTTCTCTAAACCTTGATATATCTTGGCGATAGCGCTTCTGCCACCGCCCGGCACATCCGCACCGTGTGTGCGAGCTGGCCACAGGCGCTGCGGTCGCCGGTGCTCCGGCCCTGCTGCTCTGCCGGCATTGCGAAGGGCGAATGCGTGCATGCGCAACTGTCAACATTTATATTTTATGAGCACAGGAGCCAAGACTTTGAAAACTATAGAAATGATTGCAAATTGAACTGCGTGAATAGCTTGTAAACATTTGTACTCTATTAATCCATAACAGACACATGTGTTGATGTGTAGGTAAAAGCCAGTTTACGGACGTTAATACCCAAAGAACAGAAGTACATTGAAGAGGAAAACAGACTCTCTAAACAGGTAATAAAAAGAAAAGAAAAAAAAAGTCAAGATGACTCCCTCTGGGCAAGCCTGAGTATAAAACATCGAAGTAAATTCAGATACACTACGGAGGTAGGAGGGGGCAGGCGGTGGGGTTTTTGATCATCTACTGATTGAAAATGGCTATTTCTTGCTTTTTCCCCTTTGTTCCTCTCTACTCTCTCCTTTCTTTCCAAGATCAAACAAGGACAACACTAAACTCATAAACTGGAGGGGGCAGTGCTCAGAAGGGAAAGGGGATACTATAGGGGCTGTGTATAATGGATATGTGGTTCATGCATTAGCCACAGAGTGGTCATTTGGAACAGAAAATACAATTTGATTGCCATGGAATGTGTAAATGAGAATGCCAAAAGCTGAGGTTCCAATCTACGTGCAGACCACCCACAGGTACGCTGCAGGTGTGTGTAAAGCAAGCACTCCGAGAGCTCCTCCCGCTAATCCAGCTGACGGGGGCTCCCCCTTCTAAGGGGAACCTTCCTGTTAATTAGATTTTGACCATGATCTTTGAGAAGTGAACTTTTATTGGCCTTTTTAGCAGAGCAAATAAAAAAAAATCTGGAAATCTGAGATTTTGTTTCCTATGTTGAAGAATTTTTCAATTAAACTCAGTATCCACCATGATCATTTTAAATGAGATCTGATCTCAAAGTGTGAGGAATTAGTAAATGATCTCTCTTTAAAAATCGTGGAAAGTCAATTAACACAGCTAAACCCATGTGTGTTTATAACAGACCGGAAGGTTACTGGACCGATTTGCACCTTGAAATACTTTTTGATTTTCTGTGACATTAGAGACCTAAAAATATTCTTTTGGTTTTTCGCCTAACAAATTCATCATGAACAGTGATATTTTAAAGCAGCACATGGGTTAAAATTGTAATATTTGTCTCAATAGAAATATAGGTTATATATGTATATCTATGATTAGAGAGACAGTGACAGTAGCTTTCAAAGGCAGGTGATCAGAACAAAGAAGGAAAAAAAATGGGGCATCCTTTATTTTGTCTGAGAGAAATTTCAGTTTTAGTAACTTGTTAAATTGGTACGCACATATGTGTGTCTATATTAATCCATATCTATTCTGATATGATTGGACCTCAGTAAACACTAATTATCTAGTGCTGTAAAATAGCAAAACAGCATTGAAATATGTACTTGAAAGTAGAAAAATATTATCCTGTATATATATTATTGTAGTATCAAGTATGTATGTTTGTAATTTTTGAGCTGTTCTCCATTACAGGGACTCTTTGTATAGCTGAGGTCATGTTGTAGTTTTAAAGTGGAAATTGCATCCATTCTTATACACCTTTTTTAAGAGAGACGATTTTTGTAGAACATTTGGTCACATAAAACTTTCTCTAGTTTCAGAAGTATGGAAAATAATGAGAAAACATAGACTCAGTTTCAAGTGGAAGACAGAGAATGGTAGAAAGAAGGGCAGATACGAGGCTAAAAGGGTGACAAAGTTTTGTTTTCTAGAATAAAGCAACAATACTCGACCAGTTTCTAAGATCCTTAAAAAAAACACCCAAGTTATCCATTTTAATTTGAGATCTGTTGACATTAAGACATTTAGTGAATATGAAGACCACAATGTGGTTTAAGCATCTACAATTAATAAATGTACATAGTGTGAGTCGCAAAATAAAAATTCAAATCTATTGGTGATGTTTTCTCAAGCACAAAGGTAGCCCAACCTACATTCGTCCTATTTTTAAAACATGTATTTTGGTAAGAATTTATGCTTCGAAGTCAGTTCTATCCGACTTCCCCAGGAATACTGCATTTCCTTTAGCTTGTGAGGCACAGTGTGTGGGGGGTGTCTTGCACCTTTATGCACTTGCTGAATCCTTTGTGAAGCACAGTAAACTTGAAGCATTTGTCAGGGGACCTGATGGCTTGTAGCCCTGCAAGTTCTGATCACAGTTGCGTTTTCCTTACAGCTCCTACTAAGAAACTTTATCAGAATGAAACGCTGTGTCATGGTGCTTGTGAATGCCGCGTACTACGTGAATAGCTGCTTTGACTGGGATTCACCCCCGAGGAGTCTTGCTGCTTTTGTGGTATGACTTACATTGTTATTCATTAAATGCAGTCATCGGGGCTACGTGTTTCTGTGGCTATAGTAACAGTTCCGTTGATGTGGCCATTTAAAAACTCCTATTTTAAGACTTGACTGGACAGATTTGCCGTGGGCAGGGACCTGATGGATTGTACAAGGTCTGAATCCAAGAATACATCTCCCTCCCCTCAGATTTCCGGAACGCGAGCCATCTCAGCCAATGTATAATTTTCCCTGTGACAGTTAAAAAGTGAAATTTTTGCATATTGCATAATTCCAAAATGCCAATAGGAAGGCCAGGAAAACTCTTGAGTATGAGATACAATCACAGCCATAGTCTTGACAGTCCTCGGCTTGATTTTATGCGTTCCTTTATTTTGTCAAGTTATGAAAATCCTTGACAATGGAAGGCCCATTGGTTGGGCTCTAATACGTGACTCAGTTGTCAGTGGATAGGACATATTTAGCAGATGTTTTGTCCTATCCAAGGTTTTCCCTTTTTAAAGTCACCAGTGAGGTGATGATAGGGTCAAATAGCCCTGTGTGTTCCACTTGCAGCCTTTTACTCTGATCAATTAATAACTCACAATGAAATCTAATGGCAGAGTGGGAAAATCAAAACAAACAAGTAAAAAAAAAAAAACTTTCCCATTAGCTTTTGCTGGAATTTTCTGCTCTCCTGTTATTGTTGCTTGTGAAGGATTTTAGTTGGAAGTTTCGTGGGAGTCCTCCTTTTGCAATCCTTTATTTTATTTTTGTGTGTGTGAGAATATGAGGACCTTATGTTTCCTGAGAGTTGCCAGTTTAGCAAAACCCAACTTTATTATGGGCTCTTCCAAGAAGAGCCTTAATTACTAACAAATCAACCTTTTTAGTATTACCATTCAAATGAGGGGTTGCACAGCTGTTTGGTCCTTGGAGTCTGTCTTCCTCTCCAGCCTTGTATGGAGACTTTCTTTAATGGCTGAGCACAGAAACAAAGAGTGTGCGTGTCCCTTTGTGTTGTAAGTTACCAGAAAGTTAGGCAGCCTTCTTCCCATAGACATGCTGTTGTCTCCTTAAAGAAAGCATTACTGTTAAGTTTTAGGGAAAAACTCCTTCTGTCAATGGTCTTTTAGTTACCCTGTCACATAAGAAGTTTATCGGCGTGTTCTAACAGCAACTTTATTCGGATCTTTTTTTCCCCTGGCAAAAGACATTTTGACATTCGTGAGAAAAAATGATGCTGAGTTTCTAGGTCTATTTTATATCATTACTTCCAGAATCTATAGGGCCTTAGAATAGCAGTAAAATTCCACTGCAAAGGTCACACTGCCATTTTTGATTCACTCTTTCCAAAGTCATTCTCCACAGCTGTTTGCAAAATTCAAAAACAGGGCAGTGTACAAAAGTCTGTCATTGGTTCAGGAATATTCGTTTTGAGTTCTGTAACATGACTGGGGTGTGCACCTTTTTCTAATTTCTGTCTTCTAGAAGACACACATGTCAATGTCAAGTGAGTTCAAGATGGCAGCCTTCCTTCAAAATTCGCTTGTTCTTAAAAGAAAAAAAATCAAACACCAGAATTCCGGGAAATGTGGGTCCATGTACATAGTATTTCTCAAGCGACTTCACTCTGAGACAAACCCCACTACTAGGGCAGAAATGTGGCTGCCTTTCTTAGCAGGTGGTCATATTCAGTCCTGTTATACACAGTTGAATGTGCGAGGCTTATAAAAAAGAGGAACAGATGTAGGATAAGGGTCCACAGACTCTCATGGTAAAAACAGACCCCCAGCTACAAAGTGCACACACAGGAGGAAAAAAGGATAGTATGGAGTGTTTCCTTGGAGAAAAGTACAGAGTTGGCTTGCTACTGGAGGAGATTTAACAATGAATAATACAGCCCAAAGGCGTTGCTGTAGATCTGGCCCAGGAGCTGATGATGGTGGGAACTGGTTTCTTGCCCTGAGCCTTCAGTGGCACCTGCACTTGGTGCCTCAAGCAAATAGCTGAGTGAGTCTGTGGAGGAATCAGTCCAGCTGCACACGTTCCTTTTTTTGGAGAAATTCATTCTTGAATGATGCCAGGTAAATAATAGTTTATTGTAATAAAGGTAGTTATTAAATCATAATAGACATAACTTAATGCTATTGTGTAATTCTTCCCCGCAGTTTCCTTTTAGATTTTAAACTCTTTCATAATTCGTTGTCAATCATCTGTTTCAACCTGAAATTCTGACATACAAAGGTGCTTATGTAATCATCACAACAGTATTTATTAGGTGTTTAACATATGCCAGGGGACTGCTTCTTGTGCATTTACGATTTTTGTATCCCTAAAGCCTTTCTAGATAGATTCTGATGTTTTCCCAGGACACAAAGGAAGAAACTTCAGCACAGAGAAGTTAACTCTTGCCCAGGGCCACACAGCACACATCAGTTCCTCTGTAAAGGAGTTTTTAAAATATATGTCTTATAATTTTAGTATCACGTCAGTGCAGATAAAAGCTACTGGGGAACTTATTCATCTCACAGATGCTAAATGATGTCTTTTAAAACTGAAGGTTTCAAAGTTTCTCTCTGTGAACATAGAGCCTTCATGGGCAAGTTACTGAAGAGAACTCCTCCAACTGGAAGAGTGTGTGAGAAGCACCCCATTGCTATACACATGTTGTTTCCATTATTCCCTCTTGATGCCTCATGGGCTTATTATAATGATATTGGTTGCACTTGGCCCACTTTTTATAAATGCAGCTGCCTCATTCAGCCATGCTTTTGTATCATTGCACACCTTGGTTTTTGTCCGAGATCAGTCAAGCATATAAGGGTTACTTTTTAAATTACATTTTGGTTTTTTGTTTCTAATGTACTGTCCAAAAATAAATATAGAACAATGAAATCAAGGCATAAATCTATATAGTTAGATAGATAGATAGATAGATAGATAGATAGATAGATAGATAGATAGATAGATAGATAGGTAGGTAGGTAGATGATTCCAGTTTCTGTGAAGGAAGACTTAGCATAAGCCCCGCCTCCCAACCACTCCCTGTGTGCCATGGGGAAGACCTAAAGTCATTTGACATTTGCAAAAAATGCAGTAGGTCTGCAGGTGGATCAACTATAAGCAAATGTGTTTCTGAATAGCCTCACTTTTTTTGTGCTGTAAAGAAGGTCTTTACATTGACCTTCAAGCTTGGCCTGAAAGCAAACACAGGTATGTATGGTGCAGTAGGCCTGTTCATCTTCAGGAATCATCTATTGTAGACTTGGGAATGTCTCATAAATTGGGCCTAATTTTCATCAGGCTTTTGACCAGACCTTTGTATTCTTGTGGATGTCAGTGGGTGCAACATGGGAGAAAAAAAAAATGCGGTACATCTCTCCTTCCAGTACTGTCATTTCTCACTGTAATGAGCACAAAAATAATTGGACAACTGAGCTATCAGTAAAAGGACACACTTCAGTGTGCGTCAGAGAATTATTCTGCAGGACAAACTTTAATCTTTAAATGTGATTGTAGATAATTTGTGGTACCATCTGTCCATTTGGAATTGTTTTAGCCTTTTCTGTCGTTATACAGTAAGTGCCGCTGTGTTTAACATTAACATTTGATATTTTACACATTTAATTTCTGTTCTGCTGTGTAGGTCCTTGGGGAGTGGAGCGGTAGTGCTACATGAGAGAGACAAAGTATTGATCAGTTAACATTTCAGCTACATTTATGTATGTCGCAAAATTAATGAAAATGCCAGACAAAAATGTCAGAGTGCACAAAAAGGTAGAATTTAAATTTGGTACTTTAATGAAAAGTCTTAAGATGTGCATTATCAAAAATGTCCTCTTGCCTTCAAAGTACCATTTCTAACAGAATAACTAAAGGGAGACACATATTTTACTTAGAGGAGCAATGAACATGAATTATGAAGAGATGTCAACTCGTAGCAGGACCTTGTATTCCAAAAAGGCATGTTTGAATGCTGAAGTCTCAGCTCGTGAAAGCCATTTGTTTCCGTTCCTTTCTGGAGTGCTGCTGGTTTCAAACCTCTCGCAAGGCATAGCTTGCTGATGGAGATTCTCCCCGCTAGCTTCAACTTGGTGTTCCTGAATGTGTGTGCGTGTGTGTGTGTGTGAGAGAGAGAGAGAGAGAGAGAGAGAGAGAGAGAGAGAGAGAGATTTGCCTCCGCAGCAGTTCACTGGGGCCACTCTGGTTCATTATTTATCCCTTTCTGGGTCCTTTTCAAAGGCCTAGTTTTCCTTTGCCTTCAGATAATTTGTGCTTTACTTTCATTCAATCCCTATTTTAGAAAAAGATCACACTTGGGAACATCAGCTACCCGCAGAAAAGCTGGGCCATTATGCAGGGAGAGAAAGGAAAAAAAAAATGGAGATGATGTATGCAAAGAATGGCATGAGGCAGCTCTGTGTAGCCAAATGATTGTGTTTTTTTTAAAAAATGGAGGAGGCACTAGCAAAAAAAACACCAAGAACTGGGCCTGCAGAGGCTGATGGGTACAACACAAGGACCAGAAGACAATAGACCCTCATGGAGCCTTGTGATAGGTTTGCCGTCTACTGCTATTAAGATGCTGATGGATTTTATAAGAATTATTGCAAACCATAGTGATATTTAAAGTAGTCTTCATGGTCAAGGTCTCAAAAGAGAGAGTTGCTTAAGAAGAAATAGCAGTGCGAAAACAAAGACATGTCTCTATCGCCTGTAGTTCAAGTCCTGGCGTTCGTATTGCTGAACAATGAAATATAGAGTAATGACTTAACACTACATATAGATGGAAGGTCATGCTAAGTTTACATCAGAAATTACTATTTTTGCAAATCTAAGAGCCGTCAGGAGAGCCTCACCAACAAAGATTATGCTTCAAGACTATGACAGTTTTCAAATAATATTGACACGTCTTATTTGAAAACTGTAGCTTTTTGTTGTTGCTACAGTAGTTCCAGAAAAACCAGAATGTGAAAAGCTTGTATGTTCTAAGTACATTTTGTTGGTTTCCACACAACACAGAAATACAAAGACACCAAAAAATTGAACAAGCACAAAACCAAAACTGCTTACAATTGATGATCCTATCAGATACTCAAGAATTTATCAAAAATCATGTAAGTCTATACTTCAAGCCATTTTCCTGTCCTGCTTCAAGCACTAGGTTTACCAGACAGTATTTCCATTTAATATATACAATGCTTAAGCTCTGTTACACATTTCCTTTGCAGGTAAGGAAAAAGAAAAAGAAAACTTAACAATATCACAGATTTACAAAACAGCTACATACCTGCAAAGTTACCCAGAATTCCTTTTACTGAGTGAAAAAGTATGGATACTTAAAATCATTTAGTTCTGAGATTCTTTTTTTCTGTAAAGACTTTTGCCTGATTCATATAGGCATTCTGGCACATCAAATTGATACTGAAAATATAAGCTTTTCCTTAAAATGTATCTCATTGCCAGAGAATTTTTTTTTCCAAATATTGTCCTAAATTACCTGAAAAGTAAGTTAGATTTCACTACACATTACATATAAATTCCTGCAATTACTTGAAAGCCCATTATGCCCACCCACCCAAAGACCAGGAATTAAACGTGAATTGGACTTGAAGATAGATCACTGCTAGTTGAAAACCAATGCTGAATCTTAGTTAAGACTAAAAAAAAAAAAAAAAGCATGCAAACAGTGGAACAGTTTTCTGTAATCTTTCATGAGGATTGACGCTCTAGTTTTGTTGGTAGGCTTATTTGAGTGTATGGTCATTTTCCCTTTGTTGTTTTATGTATTATATATGCAACAGAGTACATTTGCAAATCAGATTTTTGTTCTGTTTAGATGATACAAACGTCCTTTTTTGTTTATTTTAATAAATGTCACCAAAAGGGTTTTGTGGTCTTTGGAAGGAAATAATCGCATAAGCCACAGGGAATGCTACTCTGAAAAGCTTATTCCTCCTAAATTTTATTTTATATTTACAGTAAGGGTTTAATCCCAACAGCAGCTGATGTGCATGCTTTGTTAGACCTCAGTTCTGTCTTCTTTGTCCACTAACATAAAACCAGGTTGTTCTAATCTGGAGATATGCTCTTCTTGAGTAATTTGGGGAACATGAAACTATTTCATGTTTTCTCATATATATATATATATAATGTTGTGCTATATTGTTGTCAAACATAAGCCCCTTCCACAAAACTATGATAGTAGTTCAAACGCAAGAAGTGGCCTTCTTGCAAACCTAAAGGGTGCATGCAATAAAAGTTAGGAGTGTGGAAGATGTCACAGTTCTTGGGGCCATCTCTGCCATTGTAGACACTGTCTCATTTTACCTCCAGCTGCCTCCTCTTGTCACTTGTCCTATGGTCTCAGCTCCTACCCATTTATGAGATTCTTCAATCTCCTCTACATGGATCATGTTTTACAACTGAGTTAACAAAAGATCAAGATATTATAAAATAAGAGTTCAGAGATGTCTTGCTGTTACAGTCCAATTTCCTAAACCAATGTTCTGGTCCTCTGAACAAATTCCTTCTTTGAAACTTGGAATTTAAATTCTAAGGGACACACATGCTGAGCAAAATGACAAACCACATTCCATTGCAATTTTAAGTATTTTGCAAAGGGAAGATTTAAATGGATGTAATACTTACATTACTGATTTTAATTAAATTGTATAGAAAGAGTAATATCTCTTCAAACAATGTAAATCATGGCATAGATACTGTTGGTAATATCCATGATCCTTAAGTTCCCTCTGCATGTGATTTCTTTTCCCCTTTGTACTGGATCCATGCTAAGAAATAGAAACACAAATTTTCTGTGGTGCCAACTGTCTGTTGTGACTAGTTCTAAAGCCATTTGTTAGAATGATGAATGTATTAGGAGCCAATCTCGCAAGCGAAAAGCTAGCCTGAAATATTGTGAAAGAAGTTGTTCCTGTTTTTCCTTGCCTATTCTCTTGCCTTCATCTTACCACATTTTACCATTACAGTAAAAATTGGAGATAGACATAGTAGTCAACCTTTGACACTGGGAAGCCTGTGGGTCATGGCTTTACATTGCATCTTCTACTTTGCTGTGATGGCAGGCCCAACCCTCAGCCATCAGTAACATTTAGAGATCAATAACAGAGTAAAAGATGTTCCCAGCAGTCATCAGCTTGCAGCTCAAAGGGCATAATGACCAGAAAATCAGAGAAAACTCAGAATCAAAGAACAGTGGAAAGTCAAGGTTAACCTTGACTTTTAAGGAAGAAATAAAAATTACAGGGATAAAATGTGGCTCTTATTTGCTCTTAAATCAGTGCTTCTCGAATTTTTTCTTATAACCACTCTAGTTTAAAAAAAATTTAAATGAATGAAAAAATAAGGGAATAAGGGAAAAGATGTTGTTCAGAGGACTGTGCATTGGAGGGCCACATGTGGTGGTGGTATCTCAGGTTTTTGCTGTCCGCCCACCAAGAACCATGACACCTCTGATGAGAATGTATGCTGTAGACAAGCCTCAATGGCAGCTGAGCCACGTTTGCTCTCCCACTTGCAGTGGTAAAGTCTGACATGCATGTGATGTAAGTTATCCCTATATGGAGGCATTCTAGAGAAACAGAATTTGTGGTTATTGTGCAAAATTAGCAATTACTTTGGAGTCTGATTGAAGGGGGAAATTTGACTTTGCAGAAATTGAAAAATTTGATTTCCTCCTCCATCCAAATCTAGATGAAGGTTTACTTCCTTCCTCTGTCTCCAAAGGTGCCTTGCTGTGTTTTGCTAAGATGTGGAAGTAGGGTGAACATGAACTCTGGTCTATATACTATAACCTCTCTCATTATGTGGGTTTGATGGGTTTTGTCCATACATTGCTTGGTATTTATGGCTAATAGCTGATCTTTATGTTCTTAAATGACTATCATATGTCAGAGGTATAAAAGCATACTTCATTAGGCTCAATTGCCCATTAGATCTTCACTGGAAGGGCAGGGGGAAAAGGTTAGGGAATAGATAAGTCACTTAAAACCATGAGGACACTTCTGACTGTTCTGCATGATGATTCACTCAGCTCAACATAGGAATCAAAAACTTTTCAATACTATCTAGGTACATGATGTTCTATATTCCACATTGCTGCACACAAGCAATTCTACCACACTTTCTGTAGTTTGTATCGTAAACAATCCCTGCCAAGCAAATTCCAGACAATGCTCAAAAGTTTGAAACAAAAAAAGCTCATCCAGTTTTATCATGAAATACTGGTGAATTAAATAATGTTCCCATTTTTTTTTATTAGAGAAATAGAAAATAAGGGGTCACCAAGTAAAAAAAATGCCAAAAGTGACCCATTGATTGTGCACAAGTTAATACCCAGGGGGTTGTAGAAGAGAGCAGCTTTATTTTGAGGTGGTGTTAGTAGAGCCATGATTACTACTCAGAGAAAATGTGTTCATAAATGTTGAAGGTCAGACGGCTCTGTTTGCTTTCTGTAGACAACAGTAGTGAAAGCTTCCAAGAAGCCAGATATATCTGATTTTGTTCAGATTCTTTAAAAAAGGAGTTTGGTTCTTCCATTGCATAATCCCACTGCAAACCTCTGCCAGAGGCTGGTATTTAGGGACCTTTCAGTTCCTCCTCTGAGTGAGTGTGCACTGTGTCTTTCACTGTTTATATTCTCGGAGTATGAGCCTCCT